CAAGATAACAAAGAGTGAAAAATTTAAGGGGGTCTGAATACTTTCCGTACCCACTGTATATATATATATATAGCCTTTAAAAAGCACTAATAATTCAACACTGTAAAAATGTAATGTTTAATGTTGTGATGCTTAAATTCACTTGTAGCATTTAAAAAATTTGTAATTTTAATTTTTACTGTTTAAGTTTAATTTATTCAGACAAAATACTATAGAATTTTACTATTGGCTGTTAATCGGTTATTGGGCAGAATATGAAAATATGGCTTATTGGTATCTGGCTGAATTTTAATATTGGTGCATCCATTTCATTCTTAAATGTAGCCATGTAAGTGACCATAAGGGATGGGACAAACAGAGAAACCAGATGGATAACATCCCAGAAGGAGACCATGGAGACCAAAATAAAGTAGGTCTACTTTTTAGCTCTGTGTGTTAAAATATTATATGCTTGGTAAAGAAAACTTTTGATAGATAATCTTGATACAATAATGTTATATCCATTTAGTGAATTCTTTGATTTCTCTTTCAGTCTGATCCTTCTGTGACCTCCCCTGTAAACCAAGGCCTGGAGGGCAGAGGTCACGTAGGGGTCAATGCCCATATTCCATCCCTCCTTTCTATGCCAACAAGAAATCACATGGATATTACCACTCCTCCTTTACCAGTGGTGGCACCAGAGGTGTTACGAGTCACTGAGCACAGACACAAAAAGGGCCTCATGTACCCATACATTTACCATGTTCTTACCAAGGTCAGCTTTTAGTTACTAGCAACTCAGCTGTAACTTTGAAACTACTTCTTGTTAAACTGTTATGGTTGACAGTGTTTGATGGTTATTTTTTGCAGGGTGAGATAAAGTTATCTGTCACCATAGAGGATGAAGCAAATAAAGACCTGCCCTCTGCAGTGCAGCTGTACCGGCCAATCCGTCAATATGTTTACGGGGTGCTCTTCAGCCTGGCCGAGGCCAAAAAGAAGGCAGAGAGACTCGCCATGAGGAGAAATCACCTCCCTGATTGTGAGTTACAGAACTGATCAGCTAAATTGCAACAGTCAAACTTTTTAAACAATCATAAGTATCACTAATAAGGAAAACCTAAACATTTGTATGTGTTTTTGATAAAAAATGCTTTGGAACCACCAGTTTTTGTGTTTTTGAAGTACCAATGCAATTTGGTAAGCAATTGGCAGTTTGGCAGATTTACGAATTACGACATTGTTACATAACCTTCTTGGAGCCATCTGTTTAATGTAATTAATATTCTTGAGTCAGACCTTAACCAATTTTACAACATTTTGAAAATATTTCAGAATAAGTCTATCTACATGAAGCATTGACACATAATCAATGGTTTTGTCATCTTCTCTAATGGTATTATTTATTATTTCAGTAACAGGTTGTCCAAATTTTTAATTTGTCCAGTATTAAACTAAAATATTTTGTATAGTTCTCATAATTATGTTATGAGAACTATTATATTCTCATAATGAAGTTTAAAAAAAAAAAATATTATTGTTTAATTTTATACATTTTTCAAAATGTATGAATTTATTGCTTTTTTCCATGAATGCAGATATGACGTAAAAAAATTAATTATCTTCTCCCCTAAAAATAACAACTCACACTTGGGATTAATCTGCGTTTAAATCAGTGAAAAAGCCTAACTAGTATTATCACAATATAGACTGTTCTGAATTTTGTAAGCACAAGAGTTTTGAATCTTATAAATGTTACTATTGTTTGATTCTTGCATATTCCTGCATTGTTAAAGGTATTCTGAAATACTTGGAATCGGCTCAAAGTAAGAGTCTGTTCTCAGTTCCCAACCCTGCTCTTAATGCCTAAATTCTCTCCAGGGGCCTGTTGATGGCTGATTTAATTATTCAGAGAGTGCACTTGAGTGTTGACATTAGCTTGTTATTCTAGGCTTGTTATTCTTCAATAATTAGCATCATTCAAAAACTAACATTAGTTCTGTTAATGCTGATGTTCTTTTTTCCCATCATTGGAAATTAGAATACAAGATATGAAAATAGAACAGGGAAACACTGTACATTTTGTACTGTAAACATTCCTTTTATTTATTTAATTAGAGAAATTTTCGCTGAACCTTTCAAGGCAGATCTACTATGAGCTCTAGAATTAAGCAATATACTGTATACTATTACTACACAACTAGGCAAAAACAGTCAATTGTCAAATTCACAGTGGAAAAACTTCACCACCCATGATCCACCAATCTGAAGATTTGGATATGTCCCAAAAATGATTTATGTTAATAAATCATGTTATGCCGGGTTCAGACTACACGATATTTTTGTCGGTCACGATAGTCACTGTGTCAGATTACACTATTTTGACTCCTAAAATCTTGTCGTGGCGTGGACAAGAAACATGTCAGACTACACGTTGCTTCCCGACCATTCATCGCGTGCCGTCTTTAACGACGCACGTGATGTCATTGAGAAGGTGGAACTAGCGACTGGCTTCCGAAAACAAGAGTGTAAACATTGCTGAAGCGCTTCCGCTATAGTTCGCCAGCATTTTTCTTTCTTTGTTCTGTCGTGGTAGTCCCTCGATGACACATCATACAGGCAGGAGTACGGTTGCCACAGCTCAACGAACCTTTCCTCCATCTCATAATTCCACCTAGCAGCACCATCATCTCTCTTTCGTTTTGCCATGTTTGAAACCTGTGTATGAAAGAGCTTCTGTGCTGCTATTGGTCAACGGCACCAATGTGACAGAACTCGTCGTGGACGACGGAAAAAAAATTAAACTTGCTAGTCTTTCTGTCGTGATGTCGTGAAGCATCGCAGATGCGAATCGGTCGTCGTCCACTATGACACATTACATGTGCTGAAACGATGGAATCTTGCGTCCCGACGCCCATTGTCGTTTACGAATCCCCACTACACCCTACGTCAAGCAAATCGTGGCAAAATCGGCCTAAAATCGTGTAGTCTGAACCGGGCATAAGACAGGGATCCTCAAATCTGGCCCACGAGATCCACTTTCCTGCAGAGTTTAGCTCTAACCCTAATCAAACACACCTGAGCAAGCTAATCAATGTCTTCAGGATCATTAGAAAACCACAGGTAGGTAAGTTTGAACAGGGTTGGAGATAAACTCCCTCCAGGGCAAGATTTGAGGAACCCTGTGTTAAGATATCAACTTTGTTCATTTACCCTCAATGTTTTAAAAAGGGAATGGTTTTTAAATTGCTTTGGCGAATTCCCCTGTTAAGCTTTTTTGATCTGCCTTTATAGATCCAACAGTGATAATAAAAGAATGGGCTGCATACAAAGGCAAATCTCCACACACCCCTGAACTAGTTGAAGCTCTTCCCTTCCGGGAGTGGACCTGCCCAAACCTGAAGAAACTCTGGCTGGGCAAAGCAGTGGAGGACAAGAACCGGAGGATGAGGGCTTTCTTGGCCTGCATGAGGTCGGACACTCCAGCTATGCTGAACCCTGCCAATGTCCCCACACCTCTCATGGTGCTGTGTTGCGTGCTACGGTGAGAATCTAAACAGCTTCTAAAATCTTGGAAAGACATAAAACACACTGTGGAATGCTATGTTAAATGCTTTCCTACAATTACAAATGGTTTAATCTATTTGCAGAAAGGGCCTTCAGTATCAGCTCTTGTTTTTTTTTGTAATATTTCACTCCTTTGTGTTTTACTTCAGGTTTATGTTACAATGGCCAGGAGTAAGAATTTTGCGTCGTAACGAACTTGACGCTTTCCTAGCTCAAGCACTTTCTCCCAAACTTTATGAGCCTGACCAGCTGCAGGACCTGAAGGTGATTTATGTGGAGAATGATGCATGAGGAGTGTCCAGAGAATACCCACAAACCCACATTAAAGGCCCGTTGACATCAAGGCATATGTGACTTAACTACATGAACCAAAAATACTCACAAAAAAATTTGCGCGCAAAATTATTTGCATAGACTCTCTAAAAAGTGAAAATGAATACCTGAATAAATTTTGTTATGAACATGAAACACGAAAATTCAAGATATCTGCAAACAGTTGTTAATATGCAGAGCTGTTTGCGCAAATGAAATGAATGAAGGAAAGTAAAAAATGTTCTTCCCTACAACTATTTTTAAAATATATATATATATAGTTTTCTATTTTTTTTTATTTTTTGTATATTTATATATAGTTTTCTATTTTTTATTCAAATATTTTTCATTATGATGATGACTATTTAATTTTTGTATTAAGTTTTTGTTTTAGGATTTGTTTTTGGTATACAAACAAAAAATGTTTGTAGCCTTTGAAGATTTTCATTTAATTTAAAAATGAACTTAAATGATTAAATAAATAGTCTGTGAAGGAGTTCATAGATAAATTATTTGTAAAGCTTGTATATGGTGCTTTACATTCAGATTTGGTGTGAATGGGCCACAGTTCTTTCCAGTTTATTTAATAACCTGGTAAAGATGTATTTATATGTTAAAGTATTTAAAGCAATAAGCCTCTTGTGTTTCAAAAAGTAGGGTTTTAGGTATTTTTCTGGAGACTTCTTATTTTGTAAGAACGCTTGCCTGGCTGATTGGCCTTAATGCTTTGTAAAAGCATGTTTTCATCTGATAGTCGGCTTTGCAGGAAAAGACATGGCATTTAAGCAACTTGAGTGCTAGGAATGTGGTCTTTTTGTGTAGATGGTTTACTTGCCTAGCTGAGCTACTTTTTCCCTGCTCATTTTAGTCAATATGGCTATGAGCTCATAAAAAATGTGAACCATCCACACTAGCTGTGCTGTGTCGTGGCTGTCCATGTCCATGTCAGTTCTGTACACGCTTTTTGCTTCGCTGCTGCCATTGCTGGTTGCTCTCGCTGACAGAATATGCTGGGGTGGTTTGTGCATTAGTCTACATGTATGGATAGACTATGATTTGTTCATGCTTGCTTTGTGCTTTGGCTGAGGGGGAGGGGGTTGTTATCTGCTGGGTGGTTTAACATGTAGCTGCTTATTTAACCTTAAGAGCTTTGTTTGACTGTCGCTGCATCTGTCGCCTCCAGATTGATAACCTGGATCCACGCGGAGTTCAGCTGGCTGCTCTTTTTATGAGCGGCGTGGATATGGCGCTGTTTGCCAATGACGTGTGCGGGCAGCCTATTCCCTGGGAACACTGCTGTCCGTGGATGTATTTTGATGGCAAGCTGCTACAGAGTAAACTTATCCGGGCCAGCAGGGACAAGGCCCCACTCATTGACCTCTGCGATGGTCAGGTACAGTCGGCACAACACCACTGTGTTTTTTACATGCATAAGAGGTTCAAAACCATTACTGACAGAATGATTTAACGCCGACCTCAAACTGACACACCGGATTGAAGTACTACAGCAGAAAAGATTGATGATAGAACTGTGTGCTAGGGAGGGATTGAAACCAATTTTGGTTTCAGTACACTAGCAGCCTCTAGTACTTCATTATTGATACTAAATTGATACCTGAGGCTACAAATAAACAACCTTGGGTTGCTGAAGTAATTCAACTAGGGCTGTCAGTAAATTTAGTAATTCTAAGTCAATAATTTGTGCTTTTTTGTTGGTAACATATTTACACATTTTGTTCTCTTTTAAGGGAAAAAAGCAAAATAATTTATTTGTATCATGTGTATATATTACTACTGTTCAAAGGTTTGAGGTCAAGAAATTAATACTGTTATTCAGCAAGGACACTTAAAATTTTTAAATGTATAAATTCTAAAAAAATATATATTTCAAGTGAATGCTGTTCTTTTGAACTTTAGAATCCTGAAAAACATGTATCACGGTTTTCACAAAAATATCAAGCAATACAACTGTTTTCAACACTGACAAAAATAAGAAATGTTTCTTAAGCACCAATTCAGCATGTTAGAATGATTTCTGAAGGATCATGTGACACTGAAAACTGGAGCTGCTGAAAATTCAGCGTCGATATCACAGGAATTAATAACATATTCAAATAGAAAAAAAGCTTTTAATAAAAGTAACAGGCTATTTGACGATATTAGTTTTTTATTGTATTTTTGATCAAATAAATGCAGCCTTGGTGAGCATAAAAGACTTCTTTCAAAATCATTAAATCTTTTTGACCCCATACTTTTGAACGGTAGTGTGTATATAAAATACATTTATATTACATTGTAAATATAATTGTATAAAACACAGAATCCAAAACAATGCACCACAATCATTAATATATATTTCTATAACAAATATATATTTTTTTCTACTTTAAAATGTTTAACAAAGATGTTTTTGGAGGCAAAATGCTACTTTGAGCTTTCAGTCTTTAGTGCGCTTTCGTTTATGGTGCTGTAGCTCACTGTAATTTATTGCCTTGCACAATATATACTGTAATATTTACTCAACTGTTAACCATTAATCCACAGTGTTGAATTGGTTGATAGCTAGTTTCACATTAATGTTATTACTTTTTTATAAGGATGAAATTGTACTTTTAAATCTGGGTTTGCAATCTAACCAAGCTCAAATTTACACGTCTTCTTGTGATCTCCAGACTGAACTAGTTGCCAAGGTGGAGAAGATGCGTCAGAGCATCCTGGAGGGTCTGAACTTCTCTCGGCCACCCCAGCTGCTCGCATTCCCCCCTCCACCTCCACATGCGATGCCTTTCTACCCTCCCAACAGCACCTTCTACCCTCCACCTCCTCTGCCCCCACTGCAGGGTAGAGGCAGGGGCATGCCTGGTAAGAATGATTGTTAGACTGGTTGGAAAACATAAGCAGCATATACCAAACCGTTCTTCATTAGTAATTGATTATTTTGTAGCTTAGTTGTGAAAATGTTTCAACAAAAATGATAATACCACGTAAGTCGTGTTTATTCCTAGGTTGTAAAAGTGGGAAACAAATCACTGAGTAGTTTTGTGAACTTGGTCAATCGATTCTTTGCAAAGATCTGACTTAAAATACAGTGCACTCTTACATGTAATTAGCTGAAGCAGCTGAATCTGTTTGATTGGACTTTTAAGGATGGAGTTGCTTCAGAGTTATTAAAGTTATGTTGTTCATTTCATTCCTCTCAAGTAGGACTTCAAGCCATCCCCTCACAGGGTGGTAAGCTTGAGATTGCAGGCACAGTGGTGGGTCAATGGGCTGGAAGTTGTCGTGGAAGAGGAAGAGCCTCGTTTCCCATTGAGGTGGTGTCAGTTGGTGGACCAACCAGAGGGTAAGCAATACATTTTCAATAGTTTTTTAGATAACTTGTTTATAGATAAATTCTCGCAATGTAATGTTTGCAATTGTCTGTCCTCTAATATCATGTTTATAATCTTAAAATAATTTTATATTTTACTGTTAGTAATACTTGGTCATACTGGATTCTAAATTGACTTGCTATCTGTTTTTTTTTTTTTAAATTGAAATGATTGCTTTTCTTTGAACAGTCGTCCAAGAGGTGTGATTTCTACTCCTGTTATAAGGACCTTTGGTCGAGGAACCAAATACCACACTAGAGGGTTCAAGAGTCAGGGAACATACCAGGTATTACTGTATTTTTGATCAAATAAATGCAGCCTTGGTGAGCATAAGAGACTTCCAGGGTTCCCAGAGTTCCAGGGGTCACATGTCCTGGGTCATAATATGAAGTTATTCAAATTCAGTGTTTAGTTATTTTCAAAAATCAGTGATGGCATAATTTTTGATTGGATTGATGGACATTGACAGTAAAAAATGGTACAAAATTAATTTTAACAGAGCAATCCTGCATATACTGCCTCAACCAATGAAGCGCTAAAAGACAGAAAGAAGCCGAAGTTGGAGACCAAAACACCACATCTGCCCTTAGAAGGGTCCACAGCCGCAGAGAATGGCTTGGTGGAGGGTAAAGAGGCAGACCAGCTCAATGGGAACGAAGGGGAAAGCAGAGCTACAAACCAACCTGAAAGTGCCTTTAGCAACGAATCTAAAATGTGCAATACTAATCCGCATTTAAATGCACTAAATGAAGACGGTGAGGGCCGCAGAGATGAAGCTCTGGGCGCAGCTGTCTTAAAAACAGAAGAGTAAACCTATTTTTATAGAGAGGGTGAAGGTTGATGGAAGGTTACGTGTTAAGGAATATCTGGAAGGATGGAAGGCCTACAGTTGGTGTACATTTTTTCCTCTCCGAAAGCGATAAATGAGGACTTACGAATTTTTGAAATCCCTCTTCGATGTCAGTGAGTTAAAACCACAAAGTAATGATGAGGTAAAACGTAGATATACGAGTCATACAGAGAATCTTACCAGTTTAATGATGAAAGACGGTGTTCTCCCTCGTCAATGATATTACGTGTTTCAAAACTGGTTACATGAAATTATTTTACTTTCTCGATGAAATGCAGAAACCGAAATACCGATTTTCATTTGCCAGTCTTTTAGTTTTAGTAAGTTGAGATTCAAGTATCATATATACAGTATATTTGCCATTGTAACTGGGTTTGTATCGTCACAGTAAATGCTTCTTTATTTTTTGAAAACGTAAAACTCACAATTTGAAAAAGACAAAACCAAGAACGCATTTCTCATCACTGTGAGTTTACTTGTTTCAAATGTGCGATTGTTTTGACATTGAGTAACTAGTATTACTACTGCATCTTAAGTTCTGATGATTTCAATGTCATACATTAGCAATTATAGGTAATATGTCAAGAAATGGTTAGAAAAATCTGAGATCTTGAAAAAAAAAAAAAACAATGTCTCTTTCCATGTCAGAAAATGCCATGCATCAGAGATCAACGATCAGTGTGGCTTCTTTAATCAAACGTAGCACATTAGTATAACTGTCTCAGCTAAACTGCATGGCTCACGATTAAACGAAAACAAAAAACAAAAAAAAACAAACAAACAAAATGGTGTGTAGTTATAATGCATGTTGCCCTGTTTCTTCTTCATTACAAATACTATGCCCATCTGCAAAATTTAAAAAGGGTGATAATCATTAATAGTCCTATAAAAGGTGTTAACTGTTAGTCAGTAACTGATTTGCGCTAACCTTAAGTTTATTATTTTTGTGATTTATTGACCTCTGTTGTATTTACTCCAACATTATCTAGCCACTTTAAATTTTGTTAATCCTGGTGTACTCATCACTGTATACATTATTATTCTCTGTTGCTGTTTTCTGCATTCATACTATCAGATCATCTCTGAAAAAACTATCTTTGAAAAAAAAAAAAGGCTTTGATATTAAATTGTCCCCCCTTTTCTTAGCTCGAAACAAGTTTTGCGAAATATTTGACCCTCCCATTTGAGAGTTTGCCTAAGCAAGTACACTTGTAATCATTTTGATGTTTACTTTAGTGTTTTCAGAACTTATAAACGTGCTTCTAAACGAGAATCATTACTTCTCCATCTAATCCTGAAGCTTTTCATTGCACATTAGTGATCAGAAATATGGTGTATTCCTCTCAGTCCCCTGCCGCAAGTCTAAGTAGGTTACCTTGATGTAAGTTGATCGGAGTTTCTTCCTAACTTATGGGTTGTAAAAGAATGAACTACTGTTGGGTTTGAGTGATTGTTGATGGATTGTGGTGTGATGTATTTGAAGGAAATTTAATGCAACTTACAATGCTTAATAAAAGTCTTTATTCTTTTAGAATAATTTGCTTTGTGTATGTGTGTTTTTAAGGGTTGATGACGTGTCATCTAATATTTCTACTACAAGTTGCACTTGCCTTTTTCCATGATTTTACAGTGCTACATGTTTCCAGCCCCCTGCTGGAGAATAAACTGTCAAGTCATGTTCTTTAGAAAAATACCTTTTTGCTTCATGAAAACCGCAATGTTCGATAACAGGGTTTCTGTGTGTCTAAAAAAGGCCTTAAAGAGTCTTAATTTGCCCTGCCACAAAATAAATTCTTAGTCATGGCATTAAATTTTTTCATGCAAAACAGTTATTGTTTTTTTTTTTTCTTTTCCAGTTCAAATATCTTAACGTAATTAAAGGGGTCATATGATGTTGCTAAAAAGAACATTATTTGGTGTATTTGGTGTAATGAAATGTGTTTATGCGGTTTAAAGTTCAAAAAACACATTATTTTCCACATACTGTACATTATTGTTTCTCCTCTATGCC